TAACAACAACAGTGAATGACTTGACAGTGTCAATATCATGTCCGCAGTCCACAAGATGCTTCGTTATTGAGCTTCATGGCAGTTTGACTTTAGCTGTTTTCAACCACTTCGGCGAATGTTCCATTATGCGAGTAGACAACTGCGTTTCTGTACGATCTATGTATTTGCCTAACACACACTCAAAATGATTTGCGCAGTTTGGAGTGTCGAGGATTGGCGACTGGTCTTTCCCAGATTGTTGAAGCACCCGCTTGGTGATGGTGTTAAGAAAGACAAGTTTCGCAACATAATAAGTTCTCTTGATAGCTTTGTTGAGCCTTTATTGGACTAGTTTCTGTACAGCATCTCCTTTGAACGGCAAAGTGATACACATGGATTTTTTTGGAACTGTTTGGATAATTTTACTGGAGCTCATTTATATAGAGTATTTATTGCTGAACTTTTCAAGATATCCATTCCTAGATAAAGTATCCTACAGAGTCTTCATTTCGTATTAAATTGTACTGTCAGAACAAATTTTGCCTGCTCTATTGAAACAGTGTCTTGACTAATTTCTTTACATATTAGATTGCAGCAAAACTTTTAAAATAATAATAATAGCACAACAAAGATTTGCTTACGTAATATTCACTGTCAGGTTCACATTGTGACTTCATTGCTGGTGTAGTGCTTATTAGCATTTCTTTTATTCTCATTTTCAATTTTCTGTGCTTAATGCGGTTTTCACTGCCTTTATCGACTTTAACAAGTGGTCCCAACACTGGTGATGATCATATTGTGTTTTCTGAACATAGTTTGTCGTCTATGAATTGTGTGAAGTTAGAATTCATGGATCGGATTAGTATGGATTCCGTTCCAGTAGCTGAATTACAACGGGTCAATGGGTTCACCTCGTAACCTGAAAGCCCTGGGTTTGATCCTTGATGGGGCCGTGGGTACACGCTACATAGTAGTCCTAGTCTAGGATGAAACGGTTGTCCAGTACTCTTTGACTTTCATTGATTGTCTAACTGATATCAGTTCGGGAGTATGCATGAAATTAAATTTTCCAGCCTAAATGAAAGTAAATCTTTAGCCTTAAAATGATTAGAATTTAATTGGTGGATGGTGACTAGCAGTGGAATCCAGGATGCGCATTTCGTCCCACTTGGGACACGTCATCTGAATGTACCTGCATTCCCCAGTCAGTGATGTTCCCATCGAGTCTCGAACCCAGTGCCCATTTTTTCAAACGTCAAAGCCTTACCCACTAGACCACTTGGGCCACCTCTTGTGCAACGGGTCATATTAATTATTCAATTGAATTTTAGATTTTCCCATCGACTGATTGGACCGAAGTGCTCGGTCCCAAATAAGACTAAAAGCGCATCCTGAATTCCACTGCTAGTCACCATCCACCAATTAAATTCTAATTACATGCCCAGACATCGTCGAAGCATCTGCACACGAAGCCGGCATATCAACCTGAGAACGAGCACTTCGGTGGAATCAATCGACGGGAAAATCTGAAATTCAATTAAATAATTATTGAAATGATTAGTTCTGCCAGCCATGAATTCCATGGTTTTTGTGTACTTTTAAGGGTTTCTTCGTGTAATCATTGAGAAGGTTACTCATTATCTCTCTAGTTAGATCCGGATTAATTGATGTAAAAAGTTGAGTTATGTTAAACAGCATCAGTTTTGATTATCTTAAAATCGTTCAGCAATTGAAATGTTCAACTGACTATGTTTCAGTGCCTCCTAACTTGGTATTTTCCACATAATTATTTTAATAAATTAAGCAATGATCTTCAAGTGTTGGTTTGTAGGGATTTGATTGGTTAACAGGATTTTCACCATGAGCCGACATTAGTTGGAGAACCATTGGAAAACCTGGGAGTACTGGACAGTAGGGTGCAGCAGGTCGGGTGTGAGGACAAATACTTGCCGAAGACATTGGCTAGGGGTCGCGCTATGTCGTGAATTTCAGAAGTTAGAATTCATAGGCCATTGGATCGGGTCCCAGAGGCTTAATGGTCTACGAGCTCGCCTTGTAACCAGAAGGTCCTGGGTTCGAATCGCGGTGGGTGCGTACTGATGAAGAGTCCCAAACTAGATTGACGAAACAGCTGTCCAGTACTCCCAGGTTTTCCAATGGTTCTCTAACTGATGTCAGCTCATGATGAAAATCCTGTTAAGCAATGATGTCTCTATAAAATTATTAGTATCTCAGTCTTAGAGATCATTATTTCCCTGTACTTTTGGTTGATTGCAGAATCTTTTGACTTTAATCACACCAAAGTAACGAAGGTGACTAGAATGAATTGTGATTTCCGTGTGTATTCTTATCCTCCAAACTTGATACTTTGAATGTTGTTGTTGTTGTTGCTGGTATGTCACGATGATTGTGAAAGAGACAGTAGGCAATATTCAGCTGCACTTTTGATGCTGTTCTTCCTCCTTCAAAACATACGCTCTTCTACTTTTATTAGACATTTTAATTTCCCTGTAAAGTAATTTATTTAAAATATAAGATTTTGAACTTGGTAAGAAAAAAAGTAAATTGTCCTTCGAATAGTTTAAGTGAAAACATCCTTGTAACGTCAGAAGACAAGGGTCAGGCAACAGATCATTTATTGAGAAAATCAAGAGGTATTTATAGATTTTTATGTACATTATTATTCGTTATTGTTAGCAGAGAAGCAACGTCTTCTGATTGGTTGTTTTCCTGCTGAAGGTTATAATGTCATCTCCGTGTTGCCGTTTCTTAGACAGTCAGGTGATATATCTGTGAGTCGTATCCGCCCACGCTAAGTCTGTTGTGATTGGTTGTTGAGTTCCTCAAGGTTAGGCTTTATTCTTGTTTTTTCTCATAACCATGATTTGGGACGTAGGCATTGACGTAAGTTGCTGCCTACAATTTTGGCTAGCAGACAGTTCTCACCACATCCTTATCTAGGAAGCATCGTTTCAACTACAGGTGGAACAGATGAAGATGTCAAAGGCATCCAGAATTGGAAAGGCGAGATACACCTTCATCAACCAGAAACCAGTATGGAAATCTTCTGCACTTAGCATAAGGAATAAGATTCGGATTTTCAACACAAATGTTAAGTTAGTCAGTTCTTCTATATGGTTCAGAAACTTGCATTGTGTGTCACGAAAAGGATTTCCAACAGGTTGCAGACTTTTATCAATAGCTGCCTTCACTGGCCCCAAACTGAAAATCAAATGGCAGGCCAGAAAGAATAAATAACCAGAAAATGTGGGAAAAAACCAACCCAGAGCCGATTGTCCAAAAAATATGCAGGAGAAAATGGAGATGGATCGGGCATCCATTGAAGAGACCGTCGAATGACATCGCGCGCTAGGCCCTCAAGTGGAATCCAAATGGGAAGCGAAGAGTAGGTCGTCGATGCGACGGTGATATGGAGGAAATCGATTGTGTTGGAGGATAAGATGAGAGATTACGGTCAATCGTGGACGCAGCTGAAGACGACGGCAAAAGATAGGAGAAAGTGGAGATGTATTGTTGAAGTCCTATGTTCCCCTCGGAACGCATAAGAATAATAATAAAAAGTGAAAACATCAGCATACTCAATATGTCGTTCATTTATGATGCGTATCATATCAGTAAATCTATTCATAGGTATTCAGCATACCGAAAGTATTCTTATAGATTCGGGTACTTGCCTTGAGTGCGCTTGTCAACGCCAAGCAAGATATTAAATCGCGTTGCCGTGAAGAGACTAAAACATGCCTTGGATGCAAAATACCACCTGTAACGAGCTAGGTTCAGGAAAGGCAAATCATGTACTGATCGAATTCCAGTGCTACGCATTGTCATTCAACAGAGAAGAAGGCCTTCGACAGCGGTGATTGCAAAGTACTTCGGAAATTGCTGCAACACTACGAAGTGCCCCAACCTTTAAAACCACATTCAACAGTTGTATGATAATGTCGCATGTCAAGTGATTCACAATGCAAAACTTAGCGATGGCTTTGAAGTCAGGAGTAATGCTGCATACTATCACCGGTAATATTCCTAATTACGGTGAACTGAATCGTACAAACTGCCGTGAGGAGTGAGAAGACAAGAATACGTTGGACCGATAAGATGACTGTGGAAGATTTGAACTCTAAAATCAATAGATGAAAACAAATAAGTTGCCAGAAGAAGCAGCGAATACAGGACTTCAAGAAAACATACAGAAGGTAGAGGTAAAATGAAGATAACCAACCGACAACAAAAGAAAGACAAGCACCAGTCACTACCAACGGGAGAAATTCACGTCTTTCACTTATCCAGACAGCATCGTTTCTACTACAGATGCTACAGATGAGGGATGTCAAAGCCAGGAAGGATCAACGAAGCAAGACGGGCGATCATTTCTGTGAAATCCGTGTGGAGATATTTCGCGCTCCGCATAAAGAACAAGATTTGGGCTTTTAACACTAATGTCAAGTCTTTGTCGACTGATTACGAAAATCGCTTCTAACAGGAAGCTGCAAACTTTTATCAACAGCTGCCTACGATGGCTCAATACTTGATGGCCAGCCTGATAGGACAGCCAAGTAACAAGCAACTCTCACAATGAGAACTAACCAAGAACCTACTCCTTAACAAATATGCCGGAGAAAATGAAGGTGGATTGGGCATACGTGAGGAGTTCGTTAAGTTACACCAGGAGCTATTTAGACCTTCATCAGGTGGAACCCGAAAGGGGAAACGACAAGTTGGGCATGGGTTCGGGGGTGACTTAAAAGAAATTATATGAGGAGGAGACGAGAGCTTTATGAGCAACTGTATAATCAGCAGAAAACAATAAAATGGCGATGTTCTGTTGAGGGTGTATGTTCCACTCCTCTGAATATATAAGGGAATAATTAGTAAACTATCCACCATAATTTTGCTATACATTCATTCTAAGCTTTATTACTGCTAATTTGTATTTTATTGTATTTAGCCTGTGCTATCTAGCATACTTATAAATTTCCTTTTCCTTTAATTTTTCACAGCAGCTATTCGGCATGAACCTCATAGTATACCACAATTGACCAATAAACACAGCTATTCAGGAACACAAGAACTCCACAGAAAAATGAGTGATTATATATCTGATGTATATGAAAGTCATATCAATCATTTTACATCGAATTCAATGAGCAGTTTTCAAAATGTAAGCTATTTCATTCTGTCATATATATATATATATATATATATATATATATATAGTACTCTTATTTTGTTCCGTCCTACTGTATGATTATATGCAAGTAAATGCACTGCGATGTCTGAGCTTACCTATAGAGATTGCTAACTCGATATGATTATCAGCAATAAATTGTCTTCAAAACATCGTCTAGTTAGCACTGCATCTTGTATCAAGTAAACTTATATAGAATGCTGGCAAACTACACGTATTATTCTCTACACGACCGATGGTGCTACCTCGACTGAAAGATGAAGTACCTAGACTACCTAGCCACTTCAAATTGTATCTACCAATTCAACTGCGCTTGTGGTGGAGCGAGTTATATTGGCCGTTGCTCTAGGAACTTGATTTTTCGTGCTTACTTAAGAACATATCCCACTATGGCTAAGTAAAGGTTTAGTTAAAACCATTAACAGTTCGATATTGGACCATCTGATGCAAACCGGCCACAAAGCAGGCCAGCGTGGAAGAATCCTTCTCTATAATCAACCGGGTGCCTAATCAATTGCCAAAATCATCATCGAAGCACCGCATGCTCCAAACAGCAGAGGCTATTGCAATTCACCTCAAACAACCAGTGCTCTGTGTTCAAAAGAAGCTGCTGCCCTGGCCCTCAGTAGAAACTATAAACTCATGAATTTGTACTATTATCTTTCCTAATTCTCCTGACATTCAGCTTATTTTATGTAGATGCTGTTCAGCTGTAATCTATCAATATTATTGATTCGATCTTATTTAAACAACAATAATGTTGTTCATAACACTAATTCATTCATTTACTATAATGTATGTACAACTGTAGAGCCTGATGATGAATTTATCGAAAAGAGTACTCTTTGTTCAGTATCCATTCTTTTGAAACTTATATAGAATTCTTAAGAGTTATTTTGTAGGGTCTTGATTTGTCCCACGTTTGATGATGAATTAATATCAGTTAGAGAACCATTGAAAGTCAACTGAGAGTCATGGATAGTCGTTTCGTCCCACTTTGCGACTCTTCAATAGTATGCACTCATGATCCCACTAGGGATCGAATCCGGGACCTTCAGGTTACAAAGGCCAAGATTGTTGACTATTCAGCTATTTGGTCTGGAATTCAGTGGCATGTGAATGATATGTCTACCACACTGTTCGAATTCCACACTTTACACTTAGTGAAGTTGAGTTAATCGTGGAGGATAGTAACCCTTCTCGTTGGCGCACAGAAACTAGTGAAGTTAACACTATTTATTCCATTTTTACTTATAAAATGTAATTCTGAATTTCTTTGCTTTGATATACACCTTTTTTTTTTCTACATGTATTTGTAGTCTGCAACAACGACAACAATAGTTTGTGCTCCATCTCTTACTGCCTCAACAAAGGCTAATCTGAATAATCCCCATTGTATTAATACCTCAAATAATTCAATACCTGTGACGTCAAATTTACCGGTTAAAATCTCTGATGCTTCCTCTCAAACTCTACCAGAAATAATTGATCTAGACGGTTTACCAGCTTCACTGTCAACATCATTTTCTACTACAGTAGTAGTGACAACCTCGGAAATGTATACCAGTACCCATGACAATCATCATACAGAGAATGATAATAATAATAATAATAAAAATGATTTTAGGAGTAATAACAACAATAACAACGATATAGATAGTTCAAATACAGTGAAAACTGAACCGAATGAAATGAAATTTAGTGTAGATGATTCTGGCAATCCCAATACAGTATCTCAACAACAACAACAACAGCAGCAGCAACAACAACAACAACAAAATTCTCGTCAAAGAAGAATGCCAGCGTTAAAACACTTACAGTTACCATCGACATGCAGTTCTACACTGTTACGACAGACAAGTATTCCTAAAGGTTACTTTTTATCAACACCAGAAGTTATCAATGAACTTGGTAGGTTGCATATAGCTGTGTTTTGTTTTTTCTCTCATATGAATAATGAATGCACTTTGTATGTCGATATAAAATTAGTGGTAATTAAGATGAAAGCAAAGCTTTATCTGTTATCTTTTTCCATACAAGACTCAAGCATGACAGTCTTTGCGTTAATTTCCCAACAAACTTCTAAATTAAGTAATGAAACATAGTTCCAGTGGTTTAGACACCTGTGGACTGTCGTGACTGAGGATTACTCTGAAGTCTAATCAAAATCTTAACGTATATAGATTAAGTGTGGGTTTGCAAAGATTTGATTAGTTACGGGTTTTATCATGAGTTGTTATCAGTTAGAGAACTCTTCTTGTTTGGGATTCTTCATCAATATGCAGTCACCCATCTACGAGCTTGCCCTGTAACCGGAAAACCTTGGGATCGAACCACTATGAATGTGTACCGATGAAGAGTCCCAAGCCAGGACGAAACAGCTGCCCAGTACTACTAGGTTTTCTAGTATATCAATCAGTTTGCTAACTACACTATTTATAACAATTTAATAACGTGTGTCTATCCTAAGATTTTGATGTTATTCAATTCATTCATTTATTTCATCCTTTATCATCAAAAGCTTTACTTTTCGCCTATTGAGCCCACTTATTTTAACGACATAAAAAGTAGCAGCAAGCGTATCAGAGTAATGTCAGTTAATATCTTTTATATGGGTGTCCGCTCAGCTTATCACAGCTGACACTCAGTCGATAGCTGCTACACTGGAGTGGTAGTTGGATTTGTGTATGTCATTTGACGGATTGAGGTTCAGCATGAAACTTTGCTGAGAAGTGCAGCAGTTCAAGTGGCCACACTCCATGTAGCACAGAAAGACAGAGAAAAGAGAGGTAGAATAGATTTTGAGAAAAACAAACTATAATGCTCAGAAATGTACTGAAGAAAGGTTAGTAGCATTGAAAAACTTGAGGGGGGGGGGGGTTAATTTCTATGGGAGACCATAAAAAGTCAGTGTGTGTACATCACTGAGAACAGTATTTAGTTGTATCACTGATTGTCTCAAGCCATTAGTTCTTAGTACCCCGAAGAGCCCATCTAGACAGTTTACACTCTCTGAGATGTGTCAAACCAACTGTCAGGAACTGCATGGATCGATTCCAGGTTTGCGTTTGACCATCTACTTACTCTTTTCAAACCCAATCTTATGTGAGGTAACATTGGTTATTGTTTTGCCCTAGTTCGGGACTCTTTATCAGTATGCACCCACCATTCAGTCAATGTGAAGACATTGTGCATTGACTTGAGCGTTCGCCTTTCAACTAATGGGTCGTAGGTTCGAATCCCAATCCGGCTACTTCAACGTGAGCAACTGAGTGGTATCACCAATGCTTACACAATGGGTTCCCAGTTGGCCATTTCATGACAGCTTTCTATGCATTGGTCTTCTCAGAGTTCTGTCGGTCCTCCTTGACAAGTTCACATCGAGAAAATGAATGTTAGACTCGTTCCCCATTTCTAGTATGAATTTTATCGCTCTGGGTGGCAACCACTATATTATATTGTTACTATTTCCTTGGGTTTCGAGCGGGACATAGGGCTTCAGCAGAACATCTCCATTTCATCCTGTTTTCTACAGTCCTCTTTAACTGGCACCACAATATTCCACAAGCTCTCTTGTCCTCCTCACATGATCTCTTCCATATCACCCTCGGACCTACATCCAACTCGTCGTTTCCCAGCCGGGTTCCACTTGGGGGCCTAACTGGTGCACGATGTCACCCAACAGTCTCTTCGGTGTGTGTTCAACCCACCTCTACTTTCTTCGGCATATTTGCTGAGGAATGAGTTCTTGATTGGTTCGTCCCCAAAGTTTCTTGTTACCAGTCCTTTCTGATTGGCCATCTGATCTTCATTATAGAGCAACTGCTGATTTTAGTCTGAAGCCCGTTGGAAATGCTTTTCGTGACTCGTCAGGTTTCTGATCCATATAGAGGAACTTGATTAAAATTAGTGTTGGGAATCCGAATTTTCTTCTTTATGCTGATTGCGGTAGGTGTTTCCAAACTGATTTCACAGTGATGTAGGTCTGTCTTACTTTTCCGATGCTGCCTTTGACAGTCTCATCCATACCGGTTGTAGGGGGGAAACGATGCTGCCTAGATAAGTGAAAGAGGCGACTTCCTTCAAATTTGATCCTTTCATAGTGATTGGTGCTTCCTGTTGTTGGCTGGTTATCTTCGTCACCTCCATCTTCACTATGTTCACTCGAAGTCCTGTCTTTGTTGTCAATCTCTTCTGTCAACTTGTTTGTTTTTCGTCAGTAAGTTTTCGAATTTATGTGAAATCGCCTGCAAAATCCAAATCTCCTAGAGTATTCTTATCGGTCCAACGTATTCCTGTCTTCTTGCTCCCCACAATCTTCCGCATGAATGTCATAGATGATAGTAAGCAGTCTTGTTGTACTCCTGTCTTCACTTCAAAGGCTTTGGTGAGTTTTCCGTTGAAAGCCTTCAATTGCTGACTTCAGTTGACCATTCTATAGACTGGCCATAAAACAGTCTGCAATAGGATGACCCAAAAGGAGATACCATGGTAATACCGTAAATTGTATAATTGAATGTAAATTGTATATTCAGTGTATATCTCAATAGTAGTTCTTTCAAATATATATTAAGTTATCCTTTATTTAAAGAGAGGTGGGAGATGGTCTACAAAAAGCATAATAATTGAACATTTGATCAACACTGGTCACCTTGTAACAACAGAAGATAAGGTCCAGGCAACAACAGATCGTTTATTTAGGAAATCAACACATATTTATAGATTTTCATGTACATTATTATAGATTATTGTAAGCAAACAAACACAGTCTTCTGATTGGTGGTGGTTTCTCGTTGAACGTTAATCTTTCATCTCTTTGTGGCCGTTTATTGAAGTTCAGATTATCTATCTGCAAATTGTATCCGCCTACGCAAACAAAGTCTGCTGTGATTGGTGGTTGTTGACTCAGTCTTAGTTCTTATTTTTCTCATGACCAATATTGAGGACGCAAACATTGACGTAAATTACTGTCTACCACTTTTGGCTAGCAGCCAGCTCTCACCGCAACCTTATTTCTACAGCTTATTCTTTTAAAATTATCTACAAGGCGAGAAAAAATAACCTGCCCAAATCTTTGTAGTGCTTTGTTGTAAGGGGTTTTCAGAATTCATCCTTAGTCTGATTGCTGGTGAATGAAAGACGACTGCTAAGTGAATTCATCATATCTATTTTATATCCATAGTGTGTTCTACATGTTCTAGTAATATAATGTTACTTAATTGAAATCGTTAATCACCTTTTTTGTATGTATGTATGTGTGTGTAGGTTATGTGATCTTTTACATGTATACACGTGTTTCGGTGTGTGTGTATGTATGTACTTGTCTTCTCAATGCATGTGTGTAGAATATCAATATGTACTGACGTAACAATGTATCCAGGGTTGTTATAACTCATTTTGTTCAAGTGTACGCGATTCTAGATGTAATCGAAGTATTTTTTTCCAAGAATTGGTTTGTAGGGATTCTGTTGAAAGCCAATGAAAACCAGGGAGTACTGGACTCATCGGCAGCACGCACCCACTGTGTTTCTACAATGACTTACTACACGACGGTGTTTCCTGGACTTCTAGTGCACAGTCGTGACCAGTGAGGTCCGTTTGGTCGGGAGTGAAGATGAACTTCCCACCGATGTTATTGTTTGCTGAAATCACGAATCGGGCTAGCCATTGATTCGGGTCCCAGTGACTGAATGACCTACGAGCTTGTTTTGTAACCGGAAGGTCCTGGGTTCGAAACCCGGTGGGTGCGTACTGACAAGGCGTCCTGAACTAGGATGAACCAGTTGTCCAGTACTTCAGTGCTGGTTTTCAGTAGTTCTCTAACTGATATCAATCATTGGTCTGATCTGAATCATCCATTCTTATTAGGGCCTTTATTATCGCCGGATCAGTGTAAGCATGCTAGTCACTACTAGATCAAAACAAAACGTGCATCTGTACAGAAATGCATATAAAATTAAGTAGGCGTGCGTATATTTATGGGCTTAATTAAATTAGCCGATGTGACATTGATTTCATATTTTTATTTACAAAAATAAAACCAAAAAAATTTTTTTTTAAACATAAAAGCAAGTCTACTTTTGTGCATTTGACGGTCGGGCCGTCGGTTTTCGACATAGGTCTTTGCACATATGTGCGGCAGTTCAAGTCGGCACACTCCCTCCTTGTAGCACACAAAGGAAGAGAAGAAAGTAGAAGAAATGCATATGAGAGACAGTAAACAGAGGTGTGAGACAAAGGAATAGTAATAACGGAGAACAAAACAGTTTAATTGGAAATCATAAGTCATAAGGAGTGAATGCATCTGCGCCAGCCATTGAGAACGATTTTGACCGATATCACCAATTGTTTCCAACCATTGGCTTTTGCCGTCCCGAGAACCCCAACCAGGAAGTCTACACCTTCCTACCTGGCTTAAACTAACTGTTGTGGATTTCATTGACTGGTGCCATGTTTTCGTTTGACCGCCACTAGCTTTTTTCCAGCCTGACCCTATATCAGCTAACATTGCCCGTTGTCGAGGAAGGCGATGACTAGGCATGCATGCGTAACACATGTCCTAACCATCTCAGTCGATGTAATTTCACAATCTCGTCGACTGATTTCCCCTTCTTACCTAGAACTCGACGCCTAACCTCAATATTGCTCACCTTACTATACCACTTCACGCGGGAGATCGAACGCAGACACCTATGACGAAGAAGAAAAGTGTTCGTAATTCTTTATTTCTTTGAAGTGTTGTTATCATTTAATAAATCTGAAGTATTTCTGTCTTTAATCATAAAATACTGCGGGGTGGTGGTGGTGGTATTTATACTGACATAAGTATGCTTTGAGTAAACCCTAGGTAGGTAGGTAGTAAGGTAACTAGTGCCATGTGTGTCTAGTCTTTGTTGTGCTGGCGCCGATTG